TAGGGGGCATGTAATTGTATTTTGCTTTATAAATGAGTATGAAAATCTGTTATATTTCGAATACTGATAAATTTTATTTTGTACTCATAAATGATTTTATGAGTTTACATGTTTTAAGAAAAGTTTTAAATTTTTCGTTGTTTTTTTAGGTAGGTTGCTCCGGTGGCCCTAATGTGACACTCCAGATCAGATCGGGCTATCCGCATCGGTCTGAGGGGGTTACACTTTGGATTTTAATTTCTTTTAGATTAGTTACTAATTAGAATTAGCCATTCAAACCCTTATATTTTTGGCCCTTTAAATTTAGTCACTCTTTAGAACTTGACTCTTAATTAGGTCCTTTAAATTTTAGAATTTTTTAAATTTAGTTCTTAATTTTAATTTGTCATATTATAATTAAAATTTAGGTTTAGAATTTCATTAATTTGATCATTATACTAAATTTATTGATTAGATCAAAGACCTTAAGAATAGGTTTTTTAGTATTAATCACTATTTTATAGTAAATTTGATCACTCTAAGTCTAATTACTTCTAATTTAGTCCAAATACTTCTAAAATTTTTAGAAACTCATTATAAGCACACAATTGAGATTAATTAAAAATATTTGTTTATTTTCTACAATTAAAAAGAATTCTCCTAAAATAATTGAACATTCAATTTTAATATTGGTAAATAAATAAATATTTTTAAGTTTTTACTTAAAATTAAATTAGGCCTCATTAATTAATGAATAAATATCAAATCATCCTTCCTTAATAACCCGATTAAATGTTTAATCCCTAGTTTTTAGGTCTTTATTATTTGCTTTCTTTTTTAAAAAGCTTTTAAATGACATTCTTTTAAACATTTTTATTTAAACCATATGAAATGATTCTCCTAACATAACTAGGGAGTCACTTTCTTCGTTAATAAAAAATAAATAAATAAAGTGTCATATTTTCTATTTTTTAAAATATAGAAAATGCTAATATTATTTCAATTAAAACATAAGAAATAATGTAATAACCCAAAATTTTGGTTAGTGACCAAAATATAAATTTTGAAAGTTAAGTGGCTAAAGTATAAACTATAGAAAAGTTTAGGGACCTAAGTGGTAATTTTACTAAAAAGAATTTTTATTCTATAAATGGATAGTTTACTCTTGAGAGTGTGGTTTTATTGAAATAAGATTCTTGATATGGAAATTGTGTTAAAAGTTATAAAGTGATAAAGTCTGGTAAAAATTTGGTAAATCGGATTGAATAGAAATTTTGAGAAAAGTTGAAGGATGATAAATTAAGCTTAGAAATATTACTTCCACATTTTAAAATTATGGAAAATAATATGGAGCATCGGATTTGAGAATCTATTTCTATGTTCAATTTGACCGTTTGATGAAAAATGACAAGATTGAAATTTTTGGAAAATGGCATGGGAAAAGTTGTAAAGGGAAAAATATTTTGTCCATATTTGACTTTGGAAGATGATAAGGTTTATGTGGCTTGGTATTAAGGTCATTAATGGCAAAATGTACATTTCTCATTAAATGAATATTTTATTATTTAAGCTTAATATAAGGTAAATTAACATGAAATTCATTAGAAATTTCATGAAAACTTAGCCATTTTTAGTCAACATTTCGTGCTACCCATGAACAAGGTAAAAGGATTTTTTTTTTCATTTTTGAGCAAATTCCTTTGGATTTTGGATCATGTCGTGAAATAGAAAATTGTTATATTCGAAAAACGCTATCATTTGATACCATTATTATTTGCTAATTTGGTTTATGTTCAAAGATCCAAAATTCTAGGGTTTATTTTCACATCATGGTTTATGGAATTGATGAAGGATTTTGATGTTATTGAGGTTGTAGAATCATTTCCAAGCATGATTGATGTTTAAAATCACTTATACATGATCATATGAACATATGAAGTTTTGGCCTAACCCTAATCTTGGGAGAAAGAAATGTTTTAATGAAATTAATTTAGGGTTTTGATTGTAGATATTTTATAAGGTTGAATCGAAGTTGATTTCATGCTTGAATCGAATCAAAATCGAGTAAAATCATGAAAACACTAATCTTGAACATATAAAGCATTCAACCTTGACTATAGAGGATGAGAAATATTATGTAGATGATGTAGGAAGTATTCTACAAGCCTTAGAAAAATTTGGGGATCATTATGTAATTTTATGAAAATTGGGAGACCTAATCGATAATTTTGGAAAAGTTATGGGTTGTTGTGTAGTTGTTCAATATTTGATGTACTATGCTGAAAATTAATGTTTGAGTGTTGAAATTGAAGTTAGGATGTGAAATTGGATTATTTTGGAAAGCTTGTAAAAGTTATGGTTTTAAATCATAAATATGAAAAGACTGTGAGCTTAAGTGAAAATATTTTGTGAAATTGGGATAAAAAGGAACTTGAGTGGTCAATTATAAGTATTAAGGCCAAAATTTATGTTGTGACATGGAAATTATATCGAATAAGGATTAGAAAAATTGTTAGGAATTTATTTTCCAAAATATGCCTATGTTAGTAAGATTCTAACATTTGGTTTGAATTTGTATATGTTTGGTAATGATGTTCATTTAGATTGAGTGCTTGAAATCAAGATCAAATATTATTAAATCTAAGGAGAAGCTTAAGGATGAAATGGGAAATTCCAAGGAAGGTTGCAAACTAAGAACACCAGGTGAGTGCAAATTTGGTGAGCTAATGAACATTGGCTTGCGATGAGCCAGTGACGAAGTTACTATGGTAAGGAGTGACTCCTAAATGTTATGTGATTTGTGATGCATGCATATATGTGCATTTGGTGAGCTAATAGAATTAGTGAACTAGTTGAAAATGCAAATTGGTGAAACCTGCTTAGAATTTATGTTCTGGACGGTAAGTTTAGAAAATTACCATAAATTCTAAAACAATTATTAGAGGATAATTTTTATACTGTTGGATTCTTATATCAATTTAGTTTTGTTTAGAACAAAAAAAAACTGAGTTTAGGCATTTAAAAAAAGGTATGAAGTTTTAATCGAGGATAGGTCAGAAAATGGGGCAGTAATTATGCTCAAAACAGATTATGTCGGTCAACTTTGAAAATTTACCATAAATTTTACAAATTGAACTAGAATAAGTTTCTTATATGGATATATTCTTATTTGAGTCTAGTTTCCAATGGTATAAACATAATATTTATTATAGGTTATAGTAATACAAAATAATATTTCTTTAAAGGTAGTGCAAACTGCTAGAATATGAAATTATGAACAATTTTGAGATTTAACCAAATTAGAAGCAAATGATCAAGTTAAAGCTTAGTGAGGCTTACATTTTGACTTGTATATAATGTCAAAGTGAGTGAAATGCATACATAACATTATACATGGATGTTTTATACATCATTGGGTAGAACTTGCGATAAGTCTATCTTATTTATATTGGTATGATATTTATGTCATATATCATATATTTGACATATTCTAAATATGTCAAATAAATATGTCAAAAGTTGAATATAAAATGTATTGATCACTGATTGTTACTTATGATGTTTATCATGAACATATATGATATTTAACATGAATGATATTTTGGGTATGAACTGCCCAATATTAAATTATGATAATATACTTTGCCATTGATGGATCAAATAAATAGACTTTATGCCCAGGTAAGTCATTGAGGGACATGGTAGTATGCCATAAAGTCTAGTATCAGGCTGCATATTCATGATTGCACTAAAGTATAACTAGTGCATATGGTGGGCACGACCTTATGTGTCATATTCAGAACTGCACTAAAGTATAACTAGTGTGATGGTGGGCTATCATACTCGGGTTAGCACTACGGGGCATATATTTGACTCGTGTACCCAGGGACCTCAGGGTTTAAATTGGGTTATAGTTTATTGGTTAATAAGTGATAAACAAGCAAATAAGCTTACGAGCTCATGTGATAAATGACAAGTATATTGGTAAGAAACTTTATATCCGATTATATCATGTTAAATTATGGTAACATGGTTGGAATGCATGTAAAGTGATCACATTGCGTTGAATATTATTACTCATTTATATTTATATGTTGCATTGCTTTGAAATTTATATGATTGCCTCACTAAGTGTATAATTAGCGTGTGATGATTTTCATGCGTAGGAGAAATGAAGAAAATTAGTAAGGAGTTGACCTTGGCATCAATCACTAAAGATATATTTACATGTAACAATGATGACATCCTACTGTGTTCTAAAAGTTCTAGCTGGAATGTATACGAGAATGAAATGTCTGCAATTTCTTAATATAATTAGTATTAATTATAATTAATATTATGATATTAAACTATGCTTAATAAAGAAATTGGTTTGGATTTTAAATCAAACGTGTTAGACATTCTTATTTATTTTATGAATCAAAATTTTACTTAGTTCAATTAAAGAAATATTTGAATTATGATGTGACATCTGTAGCTCGTATTGACTTGTGCATACTTCCTTTAATATAACTAAGAAATTATTTTATTATTTAATTAGAAATAATAATAGACATTTTTAGGTTTTTTCAATTTTTTAGAAACCAAATAATCTTCTAATATTAAAACACATGAAATAATTCTCTTAACATAACAAGGGAATTACTTTCTTCTTTCATCGAAAATAAATAATAATAATAATAATAATAATATTTTTCCTAAAATTCCTCTTAAAATATTTTGAGAATAAAAAGATTATAAATTCAAATTCTTAAATTACTAATAATAGGGACAACAATATAATTGACAGAACCGACTCTAGGCGCTAGGGGGTGTTAATCCTTCGCCAAACGTAATCGACTCATGGACCTAGAATCTCTTAAAACACATACCACTCGTGTCTTTTAAATTTATTATTAAAATTATTTAAAAGGATGATTTCCAGGGTATTCGACCTACCTAATCCCAAAGGTTGATGGGGACTCTAAACTTTTTCAAATGTTTTATTTTCCATCAAATACACAACTCACTAATTATTGCAGAGAAAAAAAAGTCGTCATGACAAGAAGTTCCTCAAATTAAGTAGGCGTGCACCAAAGTTGGTCTCGACATAGGAGTACCGTTGACATTGATTTAGAGAGGGCCTATACCTCGACATCATGTCACATTTTACGGCCGACCCTCCAAGGGTCTTCACTGAGTTATCCCGCTAGGTAAAGGCGGTTGGGAGGGTCTTGAGTAGGAGGCCCGACAGTCGAGCGAGGTAGTGGGATAGTCTAGGAAAGCCACTAAGTTGGCAAGGCCATCATAAACTATAGAAAATAAGGCCAGAGATAGTCAGGGTTTGTGGAGAACCTCAACAATATAGTCAATAAGAGCTAATTAGAATTTAGACTGTGAGGATAAGTCTGAGTATAGGAGGAGACCCTAACGTTAGTCTCTGGAGTGAGCACCAATGATTCAATGAGAGTCTTTACTCATCCAATCTGCACTCAGTGCGAGAGGAGATACCTAAGGATATGTCAGCATGGATCTAGGGGTTGCTTCAGTTGTGGCTCCTTATACCACTTTGTTATAGATTATTCAGGGGTTTAGGGAGTGGCTCCAATATCGACCCATAGACCAACACTATCTGTACATAGAGGTTGAGGGCTAGTGAGAAGTGGTAGTATTGTATCTAGACAGTAGAATAGAAGGAAAGACAAATCAGCGGTAGTTGCAGAGTCGAGGGTAGCCTCTAAACAATATGTAGTGAGATCACGTGAAGAGTACGATGCAGTAGACATGATATCATATACATTCACAATATTCATCATTCCAGGTATTGTATTTATAGATCTCGATTCTACCCACTCTTACATCTACTCTGATCTAGTTGTCAAGATTCATCGGAGATGCCAAGTAGAAATTTAGGGTCAGACCTTCCTAGAAGATGTGATGGAGTTACCCTTTAGAGAGTTCGACATGATGTTGAGTATGGATTGGTTATCATAGCATGACTCTAGTTTGAAGTGTAAAGGTAGATAGCTTAAGCTCAGAATAGATGATAGTACCAAGTTGGTGATGACTAGTGAGAAGTCAGGCCTGTTGAAGACCATATTAGCAATAAATTGTCAGCGGATGATCGATCGGGGATGCGAGGCCTTCTTGGCTCATATGGTCGACACCCAAATTTTAGTCCCAATACTCTGAGATATCCTAGAAGTGTGAGATTTCCCTGATGTGTTTTAGAAGAATTATAGGGTTTATCGCTCGATCATAAGTTTGAGTTTGGCATCGAGGTAATGTATGGTTCAACTCTGGTGTCTATTTCTCCTTATGGCATGGCACAGACAGAGTTGAAAGAGTTTAAGGCCCAAATTCATGAGCTACTAGAGAAGGGTTTCATCCGACCAACCATCTCTCTATTAGGAGCACTATTCTTGTTTGTTAAGAAGAAAGATGGGTCGACAAGGTTATCTATCAACTAGAGACAGTTGAACAAGTTAACCATGAAGAATAATTACCACTTCTTAGGATAGATGATCTCCTTAACTTGTTAAGGGAGTGTGTGTGTTCTCCAAGATTGACTTGTGTTTAGGTTATTATCAGATGGAGGTGAAGAATGCCGATATGGCGAAGATATCTTTCAGGATGAGATACGATCATTATGAGTTCTTGGTAATGTCATTTGGACTCACCAATGCCCTGATGATATTCATAAACTTAATGAACTGAGTGTTCCACCCCTGCCTAGATCAGTTTATAGTTGTGTTTATAGATGATATCCTCTTGCACTCACTACTTGAGGGAAAGCATGACTAGCACCCCCTTTCATTATTCAAACTCTCTAAGATCGACAATTGTATGCCAAGTTTAGGAAGTGCGAGTTTTGATTACTAGATGTTTCATTTATGGGTCATATCATGTAAGTAGATGGCATCTGAGTCGACCCTCAAAAGATTCAGGCCATAGTTGAGTGGGTGCCACTTAAGAATGTGTTAGAGGTGCACAGTTTCCTAGGCCTAGTTGGGTACTATCATCGATCTATTTAGGACTTATCGATGATATCTACTCCGCTAACAGAAGAGCTTCGAGCAGTTGAAGCTATCTTAACTTAGGTCCAAGTATTGACTCAACCAATGTAGGGTAAGGACATCACAGTTTTCAGAGACGCTTCATTGAATGGTCTTGTATGCATCTTTATGTGGGAAGGAAATGTTGTAGCTTACTTTCGACACCATTTTTTAACAACATAAAAATAGAATGACTTTTGACAAGTGATGGATTTGAAAAAACAAATAAAGTTAGAGTCTCCATCGACCTTTGGGTTAGGTAGGTCAAATACCTAAAGATGTTTTTCAAAACAATTTTAAGAAAAATCCTTTTAAAGATAAAATTATTTTGAGGTCTCTTTTCGTTCGAATATCATATGAAAATATAAATCATATTTGTTTTTTATCAAAATGATATCATTTTTCAAATCATATTGTTTTGAGGTCACCTTTCAAAATGGGTTAAATTTGTTTTGAGTTCACTTTTTGTTCGAATATCAAATTGAATCGTGCCACTCTTATCGAATAAAACTTTTCTCGCTCTTCTACTATAGATGTTCTCGAAAGAATACAAGTGAAATGTTTAAAATATTATCAAAATAAAAAAGGTATGTCATAATTTTCAAAAGAATATTAACTCTTAAGAATTTTAACAAATCATTCACACACAAATACAAGGGTAAAAAATATCTAATATATAGATGTGATATAATATTATTCGATATTAACAAATTCAAAGAGAAAAACATATAAATATTTAATACAACATATCCATATTGTAATACCCTAAATATTGAACTAGGGACTTTATTGAAAATATTTAAAAATATGAGGATTTATTTGAAATAATGATAAAAGAAGAGAATGATTTGGAATAATGTTTAGACTAAATTGTATCAATTGATAAAGTAAGAGGGCACTTTAGTCTTTTAGGAAGATGAATGAATTTAAATAAAGGAAAATAAAGCATTTCTCTTCTTCTTCTTCTTTACGTGAGTAGTGCTCTCCTCCATGGTATAAGGTAAACTTCCATTATCTAGTTATTTTATAAATTATGGGTTGCTTTGGTAACATCAAGTGATAAGTAACCTTAATGAATGATTAAAGAAGGTTAAAACTATGAAACGGAGGAAATATGGGAAATTTTAGAAAATGGGTTTTTAAGTGATATGTTAATATATGAGTGTTTGTTGATGTTTATTAGTTGATTTGATTTGTCAAAGAGGTAATTAAAAGATTATAAACATTGGATAATATTAAGAACATATTTGGAAATGTGGTGTGATTCTTAGAATTAAATGTTCTTGAAAGATTTTAGATGTTTTAAGAGGATAAATGAAGGAATGTTGTATGGATAGTTAAAGAAGAGTTTAATATCATTGTATGGTGTATGCATAACAAAATTTAACCTCATTTGGGTGATATTCAAGCTAAAAACTGGAAAATCTAGGCAAGGGTATCGGTACTGATAGAACAATACCGATACTATAGGCTAAAATAGGATGAATTAGCTGAGTAGTATCGATACTGACTCAATCAGTATCGATACCGATGAGGTATTATCGATAATATGGTAAGGGTATTGATACTACGCAACATCAAATCTAAAATTGGTATCGATACCGGAAGGGGATATCAGTACTATAGTATGGTAGTATCGATATCATGGTAAGTGTATCGATACTAGGCAACTTCGAACCTAAAACTGATATCGATACCGTAAGGGGTATCAATACCATAGTATAGAAGTATCGGTACCATGGTAGTAGTATCGATACTATTGAACTGCGAACGACCAATTAGGTTGAAATTGTTATGGAAATTGAGATAATGATATTTTGAATATTCTTAAAGTACAAGGTTAAGGAATATACTAACATTGGGTATGGTACATGTTTTAATGGATGCTTGAGTAGATCGGAACCAAGTACCGGAGTGATAAACTTTGCAATTTGGGTATAATAGCGAGACAATCCAGGTGAGTACATTTAATTATGTACATATATGTTACGGTAGTCATAGTTATATTAACTATTATGTAAGAATGGTGATTACCAAATGGCACTAAGTGTACAAAGTTAAGAAATTCATACTAAGTGTATGAATTTTCGTATTGGGCACTTTGTGTGCTAAAATGATAAGAAATTCATATTAAGTGTATGAATTTCCATATTGGGCACTTTGTATGCTAAAATGATAAGAAATTCATACTAAGTGTATGAATTTCCGTATTGAGCACTTGTGTGCTAAAATGATAAGAAATTCATACTAAGTGTATGAATTTTCGTATGGGAAATATATGTGTATAAGCATAAGAAAATCATAATAAGGACATGGCTTTTTATATTGGTAATGGTTATGCAAACCACACATATTTTAGTTATGGTTGATAAATGGTGGTAATAGCACTATCGATGTAAACCATAGAGTGTTTATTGAATTGAAAGAATCTCTTGATGAGCTACCGTATAGGCACTTCATATGCATTTTAATTAATGAACATGAATAAGAAGTTGGTAAATTACCATGTGAGCACTAAGGGTGTAAATGTATAAGGGTTATAATAAATTAAAAGAGAGTTAATTGATATTAAAAGTAAGTATTATAATAGAAACTATTCCAAATAAAAGATTAAAGGCCTAACTGTGCATTTGACAGAAAGATGTCAATTATGCCAGTTAGATGAAAAGCTAAGTGCCTTTGAGGCCTAATTGTGCATTTGACAAAAAGGTTTCAATTATGCCAGTTAGATGAAAGGCTAAGTGCCTTTGAGGCCTAACTGTGCATTTGACAGAGAGGTATCAATTATGCCAGTTAGATGGAAGGCTAAGTGGCTTTGAGGCCTAACTGTGCATTTGATAGAAATGTGTCAATTATGCTAGTTAGATGAACAGTTAAATACCATTGAGTAAAATAATAATAGTCTAGCTGTGCATTTGAAAGAAAGGTGTTAATTATGCCAGCTAGATAAACAGTTAAGTATCGTTGAGTAAAAGAATAATAGCCTCGTTGTGCATTTGAAAGAAATGTGTCAATTATACCAGTTAGATGAACGGTTAAGTATCGTTGAGTAAAAGAATAATAGCCTAGTTTTGCATTGGACAAAAAGGAGTCAATTATGCCAGTTAGATGAACGATTAAGTACCGTTGAGTAAAAGAATAATAGGCTAGTTGTTCATTCGACAAAAATGTGTCAATTATTCCAGTTAGATGAATGGTTAAGTATTGTTGAGTAAAAGAATAATGGCCTAGTTGTGCATTTGACAGAAAGTTGTCAATTATGCCAGTTAGAGGAACGATTAAACACTGTTGAGTAAAAGATGAACGGTTAAACATGGTTAAATAAAAGAATAAATGAATTTTAATGTATTGTGATATGAATGGTGCATAAGTGATATGAAGGGATGATATATATATAATGTTCAACATTGCATAACTAGTATGAATGGATGTTATAAAGGAAAATGTAAACGAAACAAAATGGGCATAAAATGATCCCCAAATAAAAATACAAAACGGTGTATTAATAGCATTTAAGGTGCTGCCATAATGATTATAAAAGAGACATGATGAATTGTCACCTTGGTGTAATACATGTGTAGTACTTTCAAATTAAATGTACATAAGGCAAATAAAGAATATTGGGGAAAAGATATAAAAGAATAGGTATAATAGACATAGTAGGAATAATTCCCTTGATGGTATGAAAGAATTATGGGTTAACTGAGAAGGACTTAACTGGTCCTTATGAATGATGTAATTAAATTCTTCATTCAATATTCTTAAGATATTGTCGTATAATTGTAATATCTTTATAGTATTATGTCTCACTAAGTAAATACTTAACGTTTTTTTATTTCACGCGTAGGTAAAGACAAAGATTTGTTGCGTAAGAAGTGCAGCAGTAGTAGGAACTTTCATCAATTAAAGGTTGACTCATCAGTAACTATGAAAATCTTATTCTTTTTTAGAACTTAGTTGGCATGTAATTAAACTATAGTAAAAATTTTATAATGTACTTAAATGATAGTTTTAGTTTGTTGTTTTCTATGAGTATCATATTTTGTAGTTGTTCAAATTGAAACAAAATTTTACTGGTTTTCAAATGATATTAAGTTTTATAAAGTAACGCGACCTCTGTATCTCGTGTATGGAAAGATATACGAGATATGGATGTTACATTTATTGGTATTAGAGCTACAAGTTTTGCCAATTGTCAGCCAAAACTGAGTTCAATTAAAATGAGAAAAAAGGCATTACATGTCATTAAGATTGTCAAGGTTACTGATATAGTGTCATTAATATGTAATTGATGACACTCCTTACTAACTGAAATGTTATTACTATGTATTTTTAGTATATGTAAGAATCCTCTAACTCATGTAGAGCGAGGAACAAGATATGAGAGAAGTAACTGGTAGCGAAAGTTATAAGGCTAATAGCAATCAACTGATCCCATCTGAAAATGTTAGTGCGCCTGCACAACAAAGGATACCAGTACCGGAGTATGGAGCTTTTATGCAAGCTTTCGATGCTATATTGACCTGTTTTCAACCTCCTCCACCCCACTGCTCCTCCAGTACCGAGAATGTTGATTCTAAAAGAGCTTAAGAGCTTAGGAGCTCCAAATTTTCAGGGAGAAGAGGGTGAAGGTCCTTTGAAGGATCACTTATGGTTGAATGATGTTATAATAATGCTTAAAAGTCTTCATTCTTCGAATATAAAAAAGTTTGATGGAACTGTATCTGTACTTAGAGGATCAACTCGAGCTTAGTGGTCAAATACTATAATGTATGCACCACCGGAGGAAGTGACCTGGCAATTCTTCATGGAAGAATTTAAGAACAAGTATGTGGATGAACAGTTCAAATGGACAATGCTGTTAAAGTTCCTAAATTTGAAACAAGGTGATCCAGCAGTACATGAGTACGAGGCTGAGTATAATAAGTTGAGTTGTTTTGCTACAGAGGTAGTTCCAAATGACAAGGCCCAATATGATTAGTTTATTGAGGGGTTGAGGCCAAAATTAAAAGAAATGATGTTGGCTTTGAGTTTGCCTAACTTGCAAGAAGTTATTAACCGATCCAGAGCAATTGAGATGGCTCAAGAGAAGACATTAGCAACAGAACATAGTTTGCAAATGGGAAAAAGGGTTGAAACTCCTTTAACTCCTCATTATGTTAAGAGAGGCAGGGGCTCAAATTTGAGAGATACAAACAAAGAGGGTTCTGTTGTGACTTCACAGAAAACAAAATAGTCTCGATCGGTTGTTGCCAACTCGGATAGAATATTTGGAAAAAGAATTGTGTGTCAGACATGTGGAAGAGTGCACTGGGGAGTATGCAAACTTCTTAGTGGAGCTTGCTTCCAATGTGGCGAGAGTGGTCATTTTGTCCGAAATTGTCCAAAGAAAGTTGGGGACAATTCGGTGCAATCCGAAAAATCTAGGGCAACCTTTAATAGAATCAGGCGAAGGTAAAGATCAAGGGGACAAGATGAATCCTTATAACGAAAAGAGCCTCGGGGAGTCTCCAGAATCTATAATGTTACGACCAATGAGGATCGGAATGATCCAAAAATCATAACAGGTACTTTTCATCTTTTTGATGAGCATATATTTGTATTAGTTGACCCTTGATCTATGCACTCATATGTTAGTATAAGGTTGGCTAGTGATGGCCGTAAACCTTAATGGGCGATGATATACAAGTAAGTGGAAAGGTAGTAAACGATTACTAAAGATTACATGGGCTATGTTCTTGGTGAATTTGATGGAATTACCAATTAATGAATTAAGATCATTACTTAAAGTGATATTGATAATGATTGTGAAGAGAATGATGTCAGAAAATATATATAGATATATATAGCTTTTCTGGTTAATGTGATAGATACTAAATTAATTAAAGTATTGAACATGTTTCTATGATTTGGTACCAAATGATCTTGAATATATAATTATTGGGGTTTGTTGGTCATTATTTAAGATTAGTAAAGAACTTTTTGATGTTAGCCTTGTTGCTAATTAAGTTTTTAAAGAAAGATATTCCTTTAAATATGTTACATACGTTAACTATGCATTTAGTTGAAAACAAGAGGTATTACGAGTTAACAAATTGGGTTGGTGACCTGGTTTGAATAGAGAACGCACAAAAATAGAAATCTGATTAGAAGAGGATCATGAAAATGACAACAAAACAATTCCTCTAGTTGTAGTATTGTGGTAAACACACAAGGTCTTTAAATTCGAAGACGAATTTTCTTAAGGGAGATTTATAATACCCCAAATATTAAACAAGGAACTTTATTGAAAAGATTTAAAAATATGAGGATTTAAAAATATGAGGATTTATTCAAAATAATGATAAAATATGAGAATGATTGGAATAGTTTTAGACTAAATTGTATCAATTGATAAAGTAAGAGGGAACTTTAGTCTTTTAAGGAGATGATTGAATTTAAATAAGGGAAAAAGAGGAAAATAAAGCATTTCTCTTCTTCTTATTCTTCTTCACGTGAGTAGTGCTCTCCTCCATGGTATAAGGTAAACTTCCACTATCTAGTTCTTTCTTTAAATTATAGGTTACCTTGGTAACTTCAAGTGATAGGTAAGCTTAATGAAGGAGTAAAGAAGATTAAAACTATGAAATAGAGGAAATATGGGAAATTTTAGAAAAAGGGTTTTCAAGTGATATGTTAATAAATGAGTTTTTAATGTTTATTGGTAGATTTGACTTGTCAAAGAGGTAATTAAGAGATTAAAAGCATTGGATAATATTAAGAACAGATTAGGAAAAGTGGTGTGATTCATAGAATTGAATGTCTTGAAAGATTTTAGATGTTTTAAGAGGATAAATGAAGGAACGGTATTATGGATAGTTAAAGAAGAGTTTAATAGCATTGTATGGTGTATATATAACGAAATTTAACCTCATATAGGTGATATTCGAGCTAAAAACATGAAAATCTAGGCAAGGGTATCGGTACTGATAGAATAATACTGATACTATAGGCTAAAATGGGATGAATTAGCTTAGTAGTATCGATACCGACAAGGTAGTATCGATACCACGTAACATCGAATCTAAAATTGGTATTGATACCGGAAGGGGGTATCGCTACCATAGTATGGTAGTATCGATACCATGGTAAGAGTATTGATACTAGGCAACTTCGAACCTAAAATTCGATATCGATACTAAAGGAGGTATCAGTACCATAATAGAAGTATCGGTAACAGGGTAGTAGTATCGATACTATTGACCTGGGAACGACCAATTTGGTTGAAATTGTTATGGAAATTGAGATAATGATATTTTGAATATTCTTAAAGTACAAGGCTAAGGAATATACTAACATTGGGTATGGTACATGTTTTAATGGATGCTTGCGTAGATCGGAACCAAGTACCGGAGTGATCAACTTTGCAATTTGGGTATAATAGTGAGATAATCCATGTGAGTACATTTAATTATGTACATATATGTTACAGTAGTCATAGTAATATTAATTATTAAAGTAAGAATGGTGATTACCAAATGGCACTAAGTGTGCAAAGTTAAGAAATTCATACTAAGTGTATGAGTTTCCGTATTGGGCACTTTGTGTGCTAAAGTGATAAGAAATTCATACTAAGTGTATGAATTTCTGTAATGGGAACTTTGTGTGCTAAAATGATAAGAAATTCATACTAAGTGTATGAATTTTCGTATGGAAATATATGTGTATAAACATAAGATATTCATAATAAGGACATGTCTTTTTATATTGGTAATGGGATATAAACCACACATAATTTAGTGATGGTTGATAAATGACGGTATTAGCACTATCGATGAAAACCATAGAGTGTTTATTGAATTAAAAGAATCTCTTGACGAACTACAGTATACGAACTACGTGTGCTTCTTAATAAATGAACAAGAATAAGAAGTTAGTAATAAGAAGTTAATAATTACCATGTGAGCACTAAGGGTGTAATAAGGGATATAATAAATTAAAAGAGAGTTAATTGATATTAAAAGTAAGTATTAGAGTATAAACTATTCCAAATAAAAGATTAAAGGCCTAACTGTGCATTTGACAGAAA